ATGGGAGACCTGGATTGAATTCCTAGACGCCAGCTTCATCCTGGTCCTGTCCTGGCTGTCGTGGGCATCTGGGGATATGAATCAGTGGATGGGAGAGATCACTGTCTCTCTGCCTCTCATAACTGATTAAATTAAACATGAATGAAGAGAGGCGTCCTACCACTCACTAGCAGGCAAACCATGGGGAAAGGTACTACATCTAGTTGGGTCTTAGTTTCCTTCTCTGTAAAGCAGGGATGATAACAACAGCAATTCTCTCACCAGGTTGTGATGAGGATGGAATGAGGCTGATGTGATGAGAGACCATGGCTCCCTGCCTGGAGCATGAGAAGTTTCCCAGAAGTGTCAGCTGTTACCATTGCTAAGTACAGGGATTCAGAAGACCGCAGATTCTTTTAGCACTTGTCCTATTCTCCCGGCTTCTATACCATTTATTCTCTCACTGATTGGGAGACCCAAAGTGTGAAATACAAGGGTCATCAGGGCCATACTCCTTCTATGTCTCTGGGGAAGGACCCTCCTTTGCCTGTTCAAGCCTCTGGCAGCCCCAGGCACCCCTTGCATTGTGGTAACGTAACTCCATCCTCACAGCCAGTTCTTTTCTGTATGTGCCTGTGCCTCCCTGTGTCTTCTCTCCTTTTGCAGAGTTTTGATTAGAGTTGGGGCCTCCTCCCCCATCTAGTGTGACCTCCACTTTATTACATAGCCAGAGCCTGTATTTCCAACAAGATCATATCCTGAGGTTCCAGGCAGACATGGATTTTGGGGGGACACCATCTGACCCACTGCAGCATTCAACTACAAAAGTTAAACACAGTAACTGCTGTAGCTGCTGCATTTCTTAGTTTCCTTCTTTAAAAGCACAGAAAACGTCTAAAACGATGTTGCTATCATCCAGGTAGTAATAAAAGTCACATCGATAATGATAAAACTATTGAGTGTTTGGGGGTTTGACTACCTAGGAAGGAACAGGTTTGGTGAGGGAAGAGCCTGTTGGCAGCTCTTCATTTGGTCCTCAGTGGAGTTCCACAGTAATCCTGGGGATGACGGCCCCTCAGTTTAGATTGGTCTAATCTTCTCACCTGGAAACATCTGTGGTGTTACCAAAGGGCTGCCAAGGAATTCTGCCATGAAATGGACCTGTGTCAACTGGGTTACATGACTGCTAGTTGGTGCACATCCTGGGAAGATGGGACATTGCCCATGTATCTGTAGATGGAGGAAGGGACGGGATGTGGGATCTAACTAGAAGGTTTCCAGAATGTTCTTGTGCTATCTTCAAAACATGAAATGTTCCCCAGTCTGCACTCCTGTTTAAGATGCAAATAGTTGTGAGAGAACTAACACCTTAACTGGCAATAAAAATCTGTATGGATCCAGTTGAAAAAGGGCTCTGAGAGAAATTTTTGATAAAAAATTTGGACAGCAGGCAGGAGTTTCTAGGATATAACAAAGTGACTCAAAAAGTTTGTGGAAAATGGATTTGAAAGATGATTATTTTTGTGCAAAAATTTTTGAAATCCATGCATAGGTTTTTCATAATATGCACTTTCCATGAACTTTTTGATGTATCTTCATATCATTTTGCTGGGGGTGGGGAGGGTGATAGTGACTATAAATGCATCATCTATTAAGCAAGAGAACCATCATGAGAGACCTACTGGAATTCAGTCCTGTCGTCCCGAATTCAGTGAAGTGGCAGCCCATGGTGACTGGATTTACAAATTCAACCATGTACGGAAGCAAAATAAAGGGAGTAAGTATGGAATACAGAGAGCCAGAAACAGAGATAAAGACAGATGCAGAGATAGAATGTGTTCCTGGTGAGAGGAAGGGAGAAGAGAAAGGAGAGGTAGGTGGAGGAGGAATAGAAGGAGGAACAGCATGGGGAGGAAGAAACAGAGAATGTAACAGTGTGCACTGTTTGACTGCCATTCTCCTAATGGACTAATCCCATGCAGGGGAGAGACCTGTATGATCTGTCCCGCTGGGCTGTGTTGGGTCTCAGCCTGTCCTAGTGTGTGAGCGTCTCACAAGTGTCCCATGTTCTCATTTTTGAAGGTGGCCCCAGTTCCATTGCCCACCTGAGGGCGACTGCTACAGATGCTTGTGGAAAAATGGGCTCTGTTAAGTGCATTCAGAGAGATGGATTTTCAAGGGTAATTTAATTAAATGCAATTTTCACCTGACATGCTTCTCCTTTCCAGATAGTTTAATTAGCTTGTACAATAATTTCTAGTTAATAGCTAGTTATCTTCTGAACAGAGATAGTTAATCCTCAAATGCCTAGAGAAAGAAGTTCACCTCCTACTTTTGCTTTTTCAAAGAAGAAAAGATGATTAAGTTAGAATAAATACATTATTGTGTAAAGATTAGAAAACACAGGAAAGCAGAACACAGATTTTTAAAATATGGCTATTTTTATCCTCCAGTTAATGTTTTGGTGTATATTCTCACAATTTGTTTTCGTCATCTCTGTGTGTGAGCACATGTGTGTGTGTTTTAATTTTTAACGAACATGATACTAGGCTGTGTGTGGAAGGGTGGGGCATGTTTCATTCACTTAGCACAATACTGGGAACACTTTTTCGCATCCACATGCATGGATCCAACTAACAAAAGGGAGGCCAGAGAGAACTTTAACAGGGCTTTCATTGGCCAGTAACTGTGGCTGCCCTCCCCAGAGACTGAGCTGTTTTGCCGCAGTACCAGTGTGCAGGCAGGGTCACGGGGACTGCTGTGCAGGCGCTGAGTTCCTAGGTGGTGAGATCAAAAGTAGAGGAAGCACCAGGCTGGGAAAGCTGGAGGGGAGGTCCCCCTGGTCCACGAAGGAGCCTGCCTTGGCGCACAGGGAGCCTTCCTGGATGGCTACACCACTCCTCTGAAGCACAGTCCTTCCCCCAAGTTAGGAAGATACTTTGACTCAGAAAGATGCTCAGAAATGCTTTTCAAGCACATTTTGCAGTTACTAATTTTAATTTTTGATTAAAGCTACTAATTGAATCAAATGCAAATTCACCCAGCCACATATATTAAAAGAAAATTTAGACTTTTCATGTAAGTCTTTTGAAACAATGTCAAAGGAAACACCACAGGAATTATTTAGTCTTAGCTCCAATACTAGCTGAACTGAAGGGTCTATACTCATGCCTTTCTACTTGTGTATATTGCCTATTAACCCCGGAGGTTTTGTGAGCTCTCGTGCTTAACCTTACTGTCCAAAAATAAGAGGGCTGTGATTTCCTTTAAATTGCTGCTTCTGTAGTGGAATGTTCCAGGCAATAGTGCTTACTTGATTGCATTCAGACGTTACTTTAGCAAAGGAATGACTGCATTAAATTAGCATCAAGCACAATGACTGGTAATTGCAAGACTGTCATTTCTACAAGAGCAAAATTAATGTGTCCTGCAAACCCATTCCATTGTATGCTACAGGAAAATCAGGGAACCGTGTTGTTCTGGGCAGAAAAACGTACTGTCATAGAACTGTTAATATGCCATGGTGCTATTGAGCAATGGAGTACCTTTCTACCTTTGTTGTTGTCTTGTGCTCATTCTTCAAACCCTGCCCAATCCAATTTGTATGCTCGTATGACAGCACTGCCAGACAGTAGCCTGAATGTACAGAGAATGTGATGGAACAATTCCTTCTTCTGTGTGTGCCATCCTGTGTGAATAATGCCGGTGCAAACAACCCTCCATTTATTCATGAGAGTGTGAGTAGGCCACTTATGTAAAGCTTCTCATTAAGAGATGCATCGACCATTTACAGAAAACTTTACCCAAATGCTATACATTCATTTAGAACGAGAAGAGTGATTTACATGCATTTCAATTGCAGCTTGGGAAAAGTGCCAATTTCTTTTCTCTTCATGCCTCTTGTTTACATATGGGAAATTAAGCCAACTGAACAATAGAGTGGATTTCTCTTAGTCTTGCAGGATCACAGGGTATATCCTAAATGACAATATGCATATGTGTTGGGCTCTTGGATTCTGCTCACTGGCTCTGCAGAATTCATTGGGAATTAAAGGAACATTTCAAAATTAAAATAACACAGTAATGAAAAATGCTCAAAGCTGACAAATTGATGTGGTATTTCAGCTTAGCTTAGGCTGAGAACCACTTACCAAGGCATCCCGAGTAAAAGTAAAAATGGTGATAGTAATGCCAATAACTGACCAAAGAAGCTGTTTTGTGAATATAGCTTGAATCCAGTTCCTTAGCAACTGGTTGCATTGGCTGAAGCACTGTAGCAATTGATCAAGGATCCTGATTTGGGAGGGTCTGGCCTGTGGCCCCTTTCAGAAACTAGTTATTTATTTATTCTCATTTTATTTGAAAGGCAGAGAGACAATGAGAGAGAGAGAGAGAGAGAGAGAGAGAGAGAGAGAGACTGAGCTCCATTTGCTGGTTCATTTCAGACATGGCTGCAATGGCCAGGGTGGAGTGAGGCCAAAGCCAGGAGCAAGGAACTTCAGCCTGGTCTGCCACATGGGTAGCAAGGACCAAACACTTAGACCGTCCTCTGCTGCTTTTCCAGGCCATTGGTAGGGAGCTGGATCAGAAGTGTGGTGGCTGGGACTCGGAATGGCAATGCCAACATTGCAGGAAGCAGCTTAACCTGTCATGCAACAATGCTGGCCCCTAATACAGGTGTTCTAATATAGAAGCAGGATTCCCAAGTAGCAGCTAATGCCACCCCCAACCTCGCCCCAAGACCATTATTTTGTCACTCATGAGAATTCCACAAGCCTGTTTACTTTGTAATGCATCAGTCAGTGAATAACTTGTTTGACTCTGAAGAAAAGTCTGTATTTCACTCAAGTCTCCTCTCATGTTATTACACAAAGAAGATTAGTGAATCAGGAAGCTTCCTACCTAAGGTGGGAGAGGAATTCTGGTCACCTTAGCCTCAGAATAAAGTAACTTAAAATTATTAAATAGATAATTTCGTCACAAAAAGATCTGTAAAATTTGTTCTGGAAATTGGTACTTACCTTTGTTGCAAAATGTCCCATCATAGGCTGTATTAGTGCAATCGCAGGAGTACCCGTGGTATTTCTCTATGCATTTGCCTCCATTTTCACAGTTTGTTCCATAACTGGTGCAGTGGCCGGAGCATCCCGATTTGAAGCCGGATGTGACTTTGGCTCTTTCCTCCAGGTCAAGGGTCACCCCATTCATCCTCAGGGAGCGAATGCAGCCCAGGAAGCCTTGTTGCCCTCCAGCGCCACCTGGGAACGACAACAGGGGCACGGAGTTCACACAAAGCAAACTTGACCATGGCTTCTGAGATAAGACTGCCAAGTGCATCTGGTACTGTCATGTTTGAGTCGGGCCTGTTTAAACAGAGAAAGTTGAAGCTTTCTCCTTTAGGTAATAATGCCTAATTAAAATAGACTCTCTTCCAAGAAGTAATACATTTGCTACAGAAATAAAATGTTTGGAGATACTCGAAAATTGAATCAGCTGTTTTGGAAGTTTAATTTGGATTCCTCTAAGAAAAGAGGTTTACAGAAATCCCTAGTTTTTTTGCTCTTTATTCTCACGACACTCAGTTCTATACTATTATCTATTAAAAGAAATATAAAAAGGCAGAGAGACTTGAATATATTAGCATGGTTAACAAGTCAATTAGTCAGAAGACATAAATCCATTCGGAATGTGATTGTACATCTTGGTTGTTGTCTCATGAAATGCTTTGAAGTTCACATTGAGGGTCTTCTATCCAGAGCATCTTGTCTGGGGGTGGGGTTAGAAGTTGGAATTAATAATTTCACACAGAGGTCACTACACCATATTTATTACCAGGTCAGGTTAGATTTCATTGCCTTTGTCTAAATGTCACTGGAAGACATATAGCACTGGGAGCACATTTGCTATGATTTTTTTGGAGTAAGTTATAGAGTTAGGCTGAGGTTCATGAGCATGAAAATACTAAAATGTTCCTAACAAATTTCATGGAAATATTCATTGGAGCATTATATAGCAAGTGGATTTAATTGTGTCTATAATCTTCTTAGCTATGATTTTAAAGCAGCTAATATAAAATTTATAGATATGTCTATATATTAGAGTTATAATTTTTCTGGAAACTAATCTAAAGTGAACAGTAGGCAGAATTACTGAAGGAAGTATTTGATAAGGATTTAGAAAAAAAGGTACTATTTATAAAAATGAAGCCCAAGATGCTCTCTGATTGAGGTTCTGATCCAGGTGCTTTACTAAGCACTCATATGGTCCTTGCAACAATCTGTCAAGGCAAGTATCATATTATTCCCATTGTACATATGGAGAAGATGAGGCTTAGAGAAGTCTACCCAAGGACTCACAGCTCCCAAGTAGCAAAGTTGCATCAGGTGTGTCTATTCCCCAGCCTAAGAGCTCACACTTGTTCTGTGCTAACCACCTAATACACACAAAGAACTTTTGGGTCAAGGGTTGTTAGATGTGTGTATTTCTGAGATATAGATTTGGGTGTCTTAAAAAATGATAGGGTTGGGTAAGACTGGTAGGCTGGGGATTGATTCCAATCACTTATTCTGTTATCCAGAGAAGACGCATGCAATCTAGCAGACTCATCAGACAGGACTGGCTGAGCAAGGCTTCCGTGGTGGGGATGGATTAGCATCACCTTATGTCTGTAAATCCTCCTCCATGACATGGCAAATAACTTGTTCTATTGTCTTTTTAAACCCAAGCCTGCAATTCTCTTGTTTGGTAGTATATCCATTTGAATGATGATTCTCCAGGGACTATTTTATTTTTATAAAGCATTTGACTACAAGATTAATTGAAGGGAGTCCAATGCCCTTTTTGATCAAAGTTATAAGGTAGTAGATGGCAAAAGAAGTTGTTCAAACAACCACTTTGAAGGTTTTTCCATTTTGCCATCTGCCGCTCAGTCAAGCTTCACACCTCTGTGCTGACAAGAATTAGCACCTTCGCCTGATCTGGAAGAATTTCAACCCATTACTCATGCACTGTGTGTTAGAATTTCAATTTGGCTTCTATCATTTTAGCTGCTGTGGCTTTTGTTCTTGCAAGAAGGGATTTCCAAAGGTCTTTTATTAAATAAGTGCCTAGCTATTTGAATTTTTATCACTAGTCACTTAAGACAATTAAATCCTATCAAAATATGCTGAGATTTCTAAATAATTATTTTTAGATAGCTCCCTCTCCTTTGCCTGATTACCACGGTAATAATTTTTTACTGCGGAGGCCACAAACACACTGAGAAACAAAATAAAAAAGGGAATCTGTAATATTATTTAAAACTACTTTCCTTTTAGGGAACAATCTCTTCTACTTTAACCTAAGAACATGCATACGTGTAAAAACATAAAAGAAGAAATTAAATCATAATACACATATAGTTTTAAAACTTGTTTTTTTGCTCTTAAAATCATGAGACATTTTCCAAACAACACTTGTAGAACAGGACGTCCTGTGGAACATCTGCATTGCACCCCATTCTCTAAATGCACTGTCACTTATTCTGCCCTTCCTCTGTCATCACACACTGAAGTCCGTCTGATTTCCATCTTACATGATATTGTAAGAATACGATGCTTGTAAAGGCCTTTGCAGATCTGTCAGCTTTTTCCTTGGCATTTATTAATTACATTCAAAGTATATTTACTGGCTACAAAGGTGTAAACATTTCAAGAGCATGTGAAGTTCATTTTCCTCTAAGAAGAATTTACTGATAAATATTTCACCAGTAGGGTGTAAGATTGCCTTCTTCTCTACACCAATTCTAATACTTGGCCCCATCTTTTTGAGTTTATACCATTTCAGTTGACTGTGGACAAAAGAGCTCACTGTTTTACTCTGCATTGCTTCAAGTACTGTAAGTTGGATGGTTTTTATGTTTTCTTTATTACTGTTTCTTTATGTCCGTTGCCTTTGGGGAGAAAAGGATAAAGTATATTTCTTATTAATTGGTGATTTTTTGGCTTTAACTCATTGTTATACATTTTGCAGCTATACCCTTTCAGTCTGTGTCTTTCGACTTATTTATGGTGCTTCTATGTCCCTATGAGTTATTTGTATGGTTATGTAGCCACATTCATTGACCTTACATATGTGATTACAGCCTTTGATACCAGGGTCATAAAGACATTCTCTTGCTCAAAATAATATAATTACTCAATTATATATTCTACTACTTTTGTGATTTTACTTCTCTTAACATTTGAAATTTTAACCTACCTGGGATATATTTAAATTTGGAAATAATTTGTATCTAATGGATATTCAGTACCCATTGAGAGTTTGAAGAAGAGATATTTCTGGACTCTGTAAGTAAATGTCACTATGACAAAGAATAGAGATTTTAAAAGAGTCAACTGGTAGATCAAGTGAATCTAGATTAGCTCATTCTTTTATTAGATTACAAAGGCACACATTTAGATCCACGCATGTGTGCTTACGTGTATGTGCATACAGGAGTCATTCCAGAAAGGAATTTAGGGGACAGAGCTATCTGACTCTCAATCTGTCTTGGTTCTTCGGTCCTTCCAAGGTTTTGCATGCATGTGTCTCCCTCTCGTATTTTGATCCTAGTTAGTCATGTGGCTTTCATCAAATAATTTAATCTTTCTCAGTATCAGTTTTCCTACCCATACCAAAGGAGGTTGAATTAGATGGTATCTCCAGTTCCTCCTAGTTCTAATGCCTGGGGCCTATGATTTACAACATTTCCCTTTTCATGTATATATATATATACACACACACACACACATATACACATATACACACACATTTGTCTCTCTTTTGAAAAAATATTTAATTAATTTATATAAAATGGGGAGAGAGAGGGAGAGAGGAGAGAGGAGAGAGAGATGGAGGAAAATGTTCAAACTGTTAAATTTCTGCAACAGCCAGGCCTGGGATAGGCTCAAGCCAGGAACTCAGAATTCAATCCAAGTGTTTTATGTGAGTGGCAGGGATACTTGAGCCACCATGTACCACCTGCAAGGATGTACATTAGCAGGAAGTTGGAATTGGAATGGAGGAGCCAGGACCTGAACCATGTAGTGTGTGCAATAAAGGATGTGGGTGTTCCAAGTGGCAACTTAGACCCTGCACCGTATGCCCACACATGTGTTTCCCTCTGTATAGATAGTTTAATACTCTCAATTTCTTTCTCATTTCTTTTTCCTTTTTCATATTACTATGTGATTTATTTTTAAAAAAACTGGCTATAACAGATTTGTATTTCTAATTTGTATTTCTTGCATTCATTAAATCAAGTGTATTCCCTCTTCTTAATTTTTATAGTAGTTGAGTGGGATGCCATTTCTTTTTATATAAATGCAACCTAAATAAATTAAGCTCTTTTCTGACTTTGATTTATTTAAATGGGTCAGTGAGCTAGAAAGAACTTTCCCTGAGCTAGTCAATATGAATAAAAAATCTTTTGTCCTGAAAATGGTCATTATATATTATGCAAAAGATGTTAACACACTAGAACCAGTGATAATTATTTGAGTTCAACTTTTGTGCTCTAGAGAAATCTTTCTTGGTGACAAGTGTCATAAGTTTAAATAATAGGTCTTCAAGCAAAAATGCCATTTAACCTTTGTTAATTAGAAAATCAACATATTGTCATTGGGGAGGACCCCTGCCACGCCAGGGCTTCATGCACATTAGTCAGACCTGCGATGATTAGCAACATGAGGTGTAGGTTTAATTTGTAAATCATTTTTGTATGTGAAATGCTATGCAAGTATTGCAATTAAAGATTAATTATGAAAGTGCTGTAACAACCTATAATGAATAACACAATCCTCAAGTGCACAGAGGATTGGGAAAAAATAATCAGGTGTTCCACTAAACAATAAGGGTGAAAACAGTGATGGAGAGAAGTTACAAAAACTATACTGTCTTTAGACTCAGATCTTCATATGCTTCCTAAGGAGATTTTGTTTCTCTAAAAAAATTAAAAGTTGTTTATTTATTTTGATTTTATTTGAAAAGCAGAGAGTCAGAGAGAGAAAGAGAACTCTTCTATCTGCTGATTCATTTCTCAACTGCTCACAACAGCTGGGGCTGTGCCAGGCTAAATTCAGGACCTCAAAACTTTATCCTAGTATCTAATGTAGGTTGCAGGGAGCCAAGCACTTGAGACATCACCTGCTGCCTCCCAGGGTAGACATCAGCAGGAAACTGGATTGGAAGTAGAGCCAGGACTTGAACGTGGGCACGCGGCATGGGATTTGGATGTCTC